GATTTCAAAATTTTATTTTTACACATGCAATCAATCTTCACAGAACATGAGGTATAATTACAATTATACCAAAAACACACTGTGATGAATTATTGATTGTTGTCTTAATTTTACTTGCAGTTTAAAATCTTTGAATCATGAAATTAGTTCTACGTATTATTGTTTATGTAGTGAATGCAGTAGTTACAATATAGAAAACAGTGGCCTTGAAAAGTATTTAAATGCTTTAAAATATTTAATGTCATTAGATGCAAATTATGAAAGCAAGTGTCTGTAAACTAGCGCTGTCAAATCGATTAATCGTGATTTATCGCATCCAAAATAAAAGTTTGTGTTTACACAATTTATATATGTGTGTGTAAATATAAATAAATAATAATAAATATAAATAAACATTATATATTTCTTATATACATGCATGTGTGTGTATTTATTATAGTACACACACACATATTATGTAAAAAAACTATTATTTCAGATGCGATTAATTACAATTAATCAGTTTGACAGCACTGCTCAGGTTCTTATTTACACACACACACACACACACACACACACACACACACACACACATATAAAGTTTAAAAGTTACATTGGCTAAGTGGCTTTATTTATTTAATTATTTTTTACAGCCAAGTATAGGCCTAATTAAACATACAGGGTTCTACACATACTTTCCGTACCCACTGTATATATACATATATATATATATATATATATAGACATATATATATATATATTTGTAGCACTTGTACATGCATTTTCACTGCACATACAAATTGCATAAATCATTTTATGAGATTTAAATATAAAAACTGGAATATAGAAATTTGAAATGACAGAAAAAAATAGAATGATACTTTTAAATATGAAACTAAAATTACCAGTAGGTGGCGGCAAGTGAGTCGCTGAGTCATTTATTCAGTCTATTCTTTCCAAACGACTGATTCATTCAGGAACGAAGAAAGAAAATGCTTTTATGAATGGATCAGTGAATCACTGACTCAACCAATTTGTTCAAAACGCAAATTCATTCAGTAAGGAAACACGGCTGTGTGTTGCTGCAGAGACGCACTGATATTGTGACGTACAGGCCCATCTGAAGCGCTGGACTCGAATACTAAAGCAGCATCTCTGCGCTCTGCTGGGCACCAGAGAGGCGGATCAACGCTGAGTTGAACTCCAGAGACGGAGGAAGAAACATTTAGAGTGAAAGTCTTGATGGATTCAGCCAGCAGTGCTGTATTGTGGGAGAAACACGTCATTGCTCACTTACTGCCCCATCTAGGGCACTTGAATTGCAGTGAAGAGCTTCAGGAGCTGCGGCCTTGCATCAGATGAGCTGGTGCTTCTGTTTCTGTCAAGTATCATTGACGCCAGTCGCTCACAGTTTCACTCTGAAGTGCAGGAACATCAGACCTGTGAGATGGCAATATTTACACATCATAAGGTGTTTTCTGGACACTAATTAGTGGTGTTTACTAAGGCAAGCATCAGTGTTAATGTTGCTCTTAAGATGTGGTCACATCGCAAAACTGATTAATTTCTGTAGGAATCAGGGTTGCCAGGTCTGTTCCCAAACAGAGTAATATTAAAATAATTTGAGGGGAAAATAATAGGTTAATTGCAAAATGACTACTATCATTTTTTACACATTTACCATTGCTCGGTGAAATCACTTGAGGGTGAAATATTCTGGTAAATTTCTTTTAATTATTAAATGTATTTATTTATTTAACAATGTGTTTTTGTAATGGTCTAATTGATCCCAGTAAGATTTTTAAATACTTTGAAGGGAAAATAATTGGTTCATTTCAAAATGACTCGAAATCGAGCCGTTTCAAAAGGAATCTGCGCAATCGGGAGTTTCACGTGAGGGCGAAAGATTTCCTCAGTCAAATTTCTCTCATTTATTACATTTATTTATTTAAGACTGTGCTTTTGACAGGGTCAAAGTAACATAGTAAAATAATAAGTAAAACTAATTTTACACTGTTGCTCAGCGAAATTTGCAGCCAAAACAGAGTCCCTTCAAAAGGAATCAACGTGATAGAGACGATCGAGTTTCGCATGAAGGCGAAAAAGTTCCCCACATAAATTTTGCTCATTTTCAAATTGTTTTATTTTATTTTATTTATTTTTTGAACGTGACTTCTGTGTGAGCTGCGCTATATTATGGAAGCCCGTTTCCGCCACTGAATAAAAAATAAAAAAGGTAATTGCGACTCTTTATTTTGCAATTCTGACTTTTTTCTCGCAATTGAGTTTGCGAGAAAAGTCTGACTTTATTTCTCAGAATTGCGAGTTTAAATCTCACAACCGACTCTACTTCTCGGAATTGCTATTCTGAGACAAAAAGAATTGCGAGATAAAAAAAAAAAGCAATTACTTTTATTTTTAATTTTTATTCACACTGTAAAAAATTATTGTGATTTTAACAGTAAAAGACTGAAAAAATGCTACAGTAAAAACCTTTTAACTGGGTAACAGTAAGTTTCCATACTATATTCGGTGTATAAATGTAATTACATTTAATGTAATTTTACAGTAAAATACTGTTAAAAATACGTTTTTTGGAAGTGAAAAAGAAAAATTAATTGGATAATTTACAGTAACAAACTGTAAATTGACACTCCCAGAATTCCCTGCATGACACTTCATATTCAATGTTTTTTTGTTGAAATAAAGTTTTTTCTTAGTTTTTTTCTTATCAGTTGTATACATTAGGGTTTAATCTTACATGTAATGTTGTTAAATGAATGTTTATTGCATTATTTCAGTATCATGTGTGTCACCATGATGGGGTTTAGTGTTTATGTGAATGACACTGTGCACCTTCTATATATAAATATTGCCCTCCTCAGCTTGTATAAAAGCTGTTTGTGATGAGCCAGCTGCTGGTATTTTACCGTAAATGTCACAGATTTTTTTTTACAGTGCAGTGGCGGAAACGGGCTTCCATACTTTATAAAACATTGCTGCCCTATTGACAATGTTGGAACTTTTTTCCCGGTGAAATTTCGTTGAAACATCGCTAATGTGACCGCTAGTGATTTCAACAAAAGGACAGAAAGAAGCCACCTAGCAACCACTCAAAACACCCTAGCAACTGCGTAGCAACACCCTGGAATTGTGTTGGTGAGTGTTGCAGCTTCCTCAGACAATGTAATGTAAATGTAATCTAGTCACTGTGTTTTCTATGTATGATATTGTTATAGGGCACGGATGACATGAACTCTTATAAATGAATTATTTGAACTCTTTTTAAAGGCTTTTAGATGATTACTTGTACAAAGACATCAGATCAAGTGCAATTAATCCTTAACATGCTTTGTTATTAATCTAGATTAATGACTTGACTTACTTTAATTATGGATCATTGTCCAGCCAAAGATCTGACTATTCAGATGAGTTATGCCAAAAGCATCAGGTCGTTCTTCATCTAGCACAGACATACAGCTAAAATAATTAGTTGAGTGAATTGAGTTGTGTTTAAGAGTTCACAGACGGACCTTTCCCTGAAAATGAGATGATGTCAAGAAATAAACGCATGTCATTTATAGGAATATACCAGGCAAAAATGAAAATATAGCTCGTAAATGATGACAAAATGGTCTGTTTTAGGTGAACTATTCCAATAAGGTTGTGAAATGTCATGTTTGAAATCTGCTATGAGCAGATAATCATGATTTCAGAGGCCTGACAGATGCTTGACACAAGCTTGTGTTGTGTTTAAAGAGGGCCACTCGAACGACACGCTTCATGAAGCTTGGAGTCTTGAAAATCAAGGGTTTTGGTGGAATCAGCAGAGTTTGACTGTTCACAGTCAGTGAGCAAAACCCAGCAGAGACGAGTACACGGGGGAGAGTGAACACAGCCGACTGGAAACACACAGACAAACGCCTCACAACACAACACCGCCGAGACTAGAGGTATGAAATATAGCATTAATATTGTGAAATATTTTTACGGTTTAAAATAAGTGTTTTCTAATTTGAATATATTTTAAAATGTAATTTATTCCCGTGATCAAAGTTGAATTTTCAGCATCATTACTCCAGTCTTCAGTGTCACATGATCTTCAGAAATCATTCTAATATGCTGATTTGCTGCTCAAGAAACATTTCTGATTATTATCAATGTTGAAAACCGTTGTGCTGCTTCATATTTTGTGGAAACATGATACATTTTATTTTTCAGGATTGTCTGATGTATATAAAGTTCGAAAGAACAGCATTTATTTGAAATGAAAATCTTTTGTAACAATATAAATGTCTTTACTGTCACTTTTGAACAATTTAATGCATCCTTGCTGGAAAAAAAAAAAAAAACACCCCAAACCTCTGAATGGTAGTGTTTGCAATAATTTATTAATTATTTAAGATTAAATGTATTAATTTATTAGCTGTCAAGAAATTTCTGCATCATAGTTCACTACAAAATCAACAGAATATGTTTTGCATAAATATAATTAAACAAGGCCAAATTAACAGTATCCTATAGGATACAGATTACAGTATACTGTAACACAAATAAGGATTTTATTTCTGTAATGTACAATTGTAAATGTAGATGGTAATATTTGTTAAGCTAAATTTAATTGGTGTTGAAGTATCAGCTGATACCAATGCTGATATACAAATAATATACAATGGCAGATTATATGTGCTGAATATTAAAGAAATGTTATACTTTTGACTCAATATTTCTCCAAACTCATTTCAAGTACTTATGCTTTTGGGACAAGATATGAGAGATTTCTTCTCTAAAATCTTATTTGTAAAATACATCATTATTAATCATAGTTTATCACTATAATGTTTATTCCATAGTGTGTGCAGTAGATCACATAGAGTACAGAATAAATAGTGTTAATTATTCTGCAGTGAAAGTAAATATCACGTCTGCGCTCAAAGTTTATTTTTCTGTCATTTGACATTTATTGCACTTATTTTTAGTCAATTAAAAGCATTTCTCTTGTATTGCAGGTCAGCGGAGACATGGCTGGTGTTCTGATGCGGTTAACCTCTGTCATGATATGCTGCGGTCTGAGCACAGATTCATCTAATTCATCTCAGCGTATGTGGCGTCTTTCACATGCCTTTCAGCTCATATGTGATACTGAGACATCTAGACCAGTGTTGTGGAAAGTTACTATTAAAAGTAATGCATTAAAATATTGCGTTACTCTCTAAAAAAGTAACTTATTGTGTTACTCAGTTACTTTTTATGGGAAGTAATCCGTTACGTTACTTTTGCGTTACTTTTTCTTGTCTGGCATTGGGGTTGCTTGTTTTTTGGGATTAAATATGCAAAGGATTTTTGTGTTAACTTTTAATTATTGCAGATTTGTGTAATATTCTGAGCTTGCATTTCACCGTTTTTATTCATTTTGAGGAATACCAAATCTGCACGGAGACAGGAGAGCTGTCAGTCAATAAATGCGAAAACAAAGTAACTGGCGTTACTTATTTGAAAAAGTAACTCAGATATTTTCTTGTACATTAAAAAGTAATGCGTTACTTTACTAGTTACTTGAAAAAAGTTATCTGATTACTCCTGTTACTTGTAATGTGTTACACCCAACACTGATCTAGACATAGTAAGATGTTCTTCAGATCAATGATTTGTGGTTAATTGCCATTCCTTGTTCCAAATAAGCAAAGACCTCCAAGTGGGATTTGGCAGCAATTACCAGAACTCAACGCGGCGACTTATTTGTACAGCCAGCTGGCGACGGATTCATCACGGGTTATTTTGTACCTACTGACATTTAGTTCGGACGTTTCCAGACCCAATGTTCCAAGCACATCTGGTCCCTGACATCTGGTGCCAAATTTCTGTAATGACATCTCCTGCGGAGGCCCTTGGGATATTTCCCAAGAAATTGCAGGTCTCGGCACGTAATAGGAAGGTCAGATGGTGAGCGGGATGGCATTGTTAAGCTGCTGTCTTCATGTAAAGAGTAGATGGGTTGTTGGTTTGTATTAGGATGCGTGTTATGTCGACAGAAGATTCCCAGTGGGAATGTCGTCCTGAGTTTCAGCTCTGGTTTGTTTGTGCTGTCAGCCCCACCGGAAGATCATGCTGGCTTTGATGCCACACAGTCAGAGGTGAAATGGGGATGTTTCTCGCAAACCCCATGTTTTTTAACTAGGCATGAATGTGAAGACGTCAAATTATAGTCTATATTCATAAGCCCACCCTTGGGACATTATATTAATGTAAAACCTGAGTTAATCTGAATATTTTACATTTCAAAGCACATCACTAAAGGACATGAGCAGTTCAGTTACATTTTCAACACTGACACTTTGTTTGCAATTATAATGTGGATTTCTTTGAGGATTTTTCTTGACGTCACAGTATAGTACAGGCGTCACAGCCTTATTAGTATTATTATTATTATTATTGTTGTTGTTAGTAGTAGTAGTATTTTATTATTATTATTATTATTAAATAATAATTAATATAATTAATATTTTTATATTTTAACCAATTAGATTTTATTATTGGAACTCTCTGTTTCATATTTTATTTCTAATCCTCACATTTGATTTTCTCTGGAAAACTAGTCATTCCTGAGAGCTTGATTATATCGTCCTTTCAAGAGAGTCTTCAGATGGTCAACGCTGCACTGAATCAAACTTCACAAGGGTGAACAAAAGTCTATCATCATTTTTATAATTTATAAACATTTTATCTCCTAATAAAGACAGTAGAGATAGTATTTCCCTCTTTTTCGCTGAGTTGCAGGTTCGATCCTCAGCCTTCACACATGTACACGCTCTCCAGACGGCCGGCATCAGAAACACAGCACATCTCCAAATCAGCAGAGATCTTTCACATGACTTTAGGGCTTTTAAAGGAGAAGGCGAGCAGGAGACATAAAAGATCACTGTCTGTGTCAGGTGAGGCTCTTATACATACATTATTGCCTCAGATTATTGCAGTGAATTTAAAGGGATAGTTCACCCAAAATAAAAATCTGCTTTTAATTTACTCACTCTCAGGCCATTCAAGATGTAGGTGACTTTTTTTTCTTCAGTAGAACAGTAAAGAAGATTTTTAGCTGAAACTTGGTCCTTGGTGATGCATAAAATTGCAAGTCAGCTGCTTCATGTATTTGAGAATAAAAAAAGAGCATATTAAGGAACACAAAATGAATACCCGTGGCTCCTGACGATATATTGAGGTCTTGTGAAGTGAAACAATCATCTGTGCAAGAAACTGAACATTATTTATAATATTATTACCTGTAATCCAGAGCCTCAGGTAAACAGGGAAATCTTCTTCTTGTCTGCGAACTGATTCTTTTAGACAGTTCGTTTCTATGAACTGGTTCAATTCACTAGTTCGTTTACGTAATCACGCAATGACCTCACTTATACATAATTATATTATTAAAGCACCCAATAATGATGTGAAACATAGATGTTTTACATGTCTAAAGCTGAATAAACTAGTCTTCATTGGCTCACCTTTATATATAAACCATAAGAAACCATAAAAACTTTTATAACATTTGGCCGCTTCATTCAAGCTCTCGGTTCACTCCTGCTCATATCAGCGGCTCATCGGTCTTCGGTTCGAGTCGAACTGTTTCCTCGGTTCAGTCAGTGACAGGAACTGGAGCGCTGAATCAGTTCATTCGTCACAAGATCAGATGGTATTTTGGCTCATTTCGAGTCGGAGTGACTGTCAGGCGTCTGAAATTTGATTGAGTAACGTGTAGATCTGTGCTGCTCGAGCCGCGAACTGATTCAGACGCTTCAGTCCGATTTGATGAACCGATTCCCTAAAAAGATCCGGTTCAAAAGAATGATTCATTCACAAACTGAACCGTTTGCCTGAGGCTCTGGATAACAGCTAATAATGTTGTAAATAATGTTCAGTTTCTTGCACAGAGCGATCATTTCGCTTCATAAGACCTCAATATGTTGTCAATAGTCACAGGTATTAATTTTGTGTTTCCTGATATGCTTTTTTGACTCTCAAAGTGCCAGAAGCTGCTCATTTGCATTTTATGAATCACCAAGGAGCACGGTTTCAGCTAAAAATCTTCTTTAATGTTCTACTGAAGAAAATAGTCACCTACAGTAAATTAACAGCAAATTTTCATTTTTGCATGAACTATCCGTTTAATAAAAGCTCCTGAGCACCGATGACACTTGATCTAATGCATTGACATTTTTTAAGTGTCTAAACACTTCATGGGGCCGCTGCGAGGTATTATTTAGCGTGTTATTTTGCGCAACATGTACTAGAGATTCAGCTCTGTAAGTGTGGAATAATGCAGTGGCGTCATCTCGGAAGAGCTTTAAATGTCAGATTTAATCAATGTTGCCTCATCTATGGGAACCTCGGCGGACTGTTTACCCTTCAGTGTTTGAGTTGCATTCGTAAACACATTAACTCCTTTTCAAGAGCTCCTTTCCGTGAAGGCAGTGGAGCGGATAGCAAACCTGTCTGGATGCCCTCGCACTCTCCATCCCACCACCTGCGCCAAAGATGGAAAATACCGCAGCATCTCTGGAGTCTGCAATAACAGGTATCTGACTCCCATCTTAATAATTCATCCATAATGCAGCGGGAGGCACGTCTCGCAGTTTGAGAGCACAGAAAACAGACCCTCGGTTAACAGTTCCGCGGCCTTTTGTGGAGAGGATCAGGTTGATATGATAAGATGACCTGCGGGTCAGAGCTTCGAGCAGATGAGAATATCACTAAACAGTATAAAAATAATGTCTAAACCTTAAATATTCATGCCCTGCTCACCCGGGTCATGAAAGACGTCACAAACCTGTGCTTGCTTTCATCTGCTGCAACTGCAAAAAATGTTCCCGATCAGTATTTTTGTCTTGTTTTCCATTACACATATCTAAACATTCTTAAATCAATTTATATTTATATCTATATCTATATATGAGAAGCAAAATGACATTAAGTCTTGTTTTCTGACAATGAAGTGAGTTTAAGCATAAATCAAGAAGAAAATGTTTTTGAATAGGGTCAGAAAAATAATCTTGTTTTCCATTTTAATTAAGTTTATTTTTCTGATAATTTCACTTAATTGTGATATATTTTTCAAGAAAACAAAACTTAATGTTTTATGTAATTTTGCTTGTATATTGATTTAAGAATGTTTAGATATTTGTACTGGAAAACAAGACAAAAA